ACTACATCTACTTAAGTGTATCACATTATAATGGTGAGTTAATTTTTGATTGCTTTTTTTCCTCTCTTTCTACAAAAAGAATAAGTTACCCTGCATTTTATTCTTGATATATATATATATATTTTCAGATCTATTCCATATTTAGTAAAAACATGAGTAGAGCCTACAGTGAAACTGCAGAGGTAAACAAAGCTCAGCTGTGTAGCATAGAACAAAATTCAAATCTGGGTTCAAATTTCTTAAAGGATACTGTACCTTGATTTCAGGTTAAATCAATATAGGAACTGCCTCACTGAATTTAACTACCAGTCTGTCTCAACTGAGGCCATCACCAGTTGCTTCAAAGTCAGAAACAGGCAATAACCTGTACCCAGGGAACATTTCTTTCTAGTCCATTTAATAGCTAGAGGTTGGCTTATACCTTTTAAGCAACAGGATTAATCCACCTTAAATCTCTTACTTATAAAAATAGTATTTATTGTTAAAACTCTGGATATTGTGTGTTCTGTATACATGTCTAATCTGCTTTTGAGTACTGTCAAATATCTAAGAATTGAGCTCCACTGTCTGTGTGTTGTGTGTAAAAGTATTTATTTTATGCATTTTGAATGTTCCAGCTATCAGTTTAATTAAACATATCCTTTTTCTTGTATTCCCAAGCAGTCCCAAAAGATGGGATATTTGGAGGATGAAAGGAACAAATGCCCTCAAATTAGGTAATTCCTTGATTTAAAATCAAAGGGTTACTGGTAGCATGCACTCCACGAGGAGCCCTAGACTTTACTGTTTGGCTCAGTTTCTTTCTTGGGTATTGTTTTTAGTAGGTGTTGAAGGCACTTAAATCTTTCAGTTATCCAGCCTAGTCTATGAAGGATTGTTCTCCACAGACATTTTCCAGCATTTTGTCCTGTCGGATTAGATAAATCCCAAACTATGGAATCTCTTTTGTTCAATAAAATGTTATGGTTCTGTGAAAAATCACAACATTACTTTGAACATACAAAACAAGAGCTCAACATGTTCAGATCTTCAGGTAGTCAGACACGCTTGCCCTTTTCTCTCTAAAAAGAGGAATGAACAACTGATTTTTTCAGCTGAAGGAGTTAGTCTTCTGAGGCAGCTATTCCACATCAGCACTGTGTGGAGCAGAAATGTGTATTCCTTATTTCAAATAATAAAGCCTCCCTCCATGGTCATGATCCTGACTCAGTATTCCTTAATAAACCCACACATTGCTGTCAGCTGCTTGAATCCCTTTCCTAAGGCGGCTTTATCTACAATTAAAATGACATATAGACATATTGTGACAATGTTTTGGGTAAGTTCAACAGTGAACTGCCTGTAGCTGAGCTGCTCTAGGGCTTCATGGGAGTTGTAGTTAGAGTGCCTCAGGTCCCAGTTGATTGAGACTCCAAGGGATTGCATCTCCTGGAGCATACTAAAGGCTTCCTATGACAATGGCTAGCACTTCAATGAATTTGCCACACTATCCATACTGGGGAGGTTACGATGTCTTTAGGAGACTATTGTAAGGAACTTGGCAGTGATGTATGTAAGCAGAGTAGAAAAATGAAACCTAAGATGCAACCTAATTGCAGTCGGCACTAGAAATTTTCACAGGTGATGTTTACAAGTAATAAATGTTGCTGCAAGGCTCTCCCTGTTCAGTGCAGCCTAATGGATAGAGCACCAGACTGTGTGTAAGGAAACTTGGGCTCAATGCCTGGCTCTGCCATTGGCCTTAGACATTTCCCTTTCTTGAATCTCCGTTTTTCCCTCTGCAAAATGGAGGTGATGACACTAACCTACTTTGTGAAGTGCTGCGGCGTCTATAGATGAAAAGTGCTGTGAAGAGTTAGATTACTAAGTACAATGAGACAGTGCAACCAAATAGGCATAAGAGACAATATTTTAATAGTGCCCCCTATACTTGAATCTGCTAAATATAAAAATATTAAGCTGGCTTTCAATTACACGGTGACCTTTGCTCTACAAAGCAACACAAGCAGTCTCTACTATAAAGCATTCATTTTGAATGACTAATTAATATATGTAGTAGGGATCATTTTTACATTACTCATCAGTATTGCTCATGGCTAAGAACATCATAAGTTATTAATAATTAAGTATCGCCCCAGCCTGCCTTCAGCCCTACTTAACAAGATGAAAAACATCTTTCAAAAGTAACATTAAAAGTATTAGAGTATGGGAGCAGGAAAGGAAACAGTACAGATAAAACATCAGTTCTTTCAGAGATGGAATCTGTTTGAAATACACACCTGTTCCCATATTTCAAACAGATATCAACTAGAATTTACCTTTACAAAACTTGAGTAAGTATTTGTAGTCCAATTTAGACTTTGCCAGTACTAGAAAGTTTAGTTTCTGAATATGTTGTTCGCTGTGGTTTCTCTCTCATGTTTTATTGATCTGTTTTTACAAATAGAAGCCATCTACAAAATCTCTCACTTGGATGAGAGCTGGTCAAAGGCTAGGAAGATGACACTTGCATGGTTGTTTACATAAGTCTAAGCACTAGTTTGCTGTGACAGGTGGAGTTATATTACTTGTCATTTATAGGTATTTGCACAGGCAACAAGCATCATTGAAAATGTTTTTGAAATTCACGTTCTTTATTTTTAGCACAAATGAGAAGTGCATTTGAAAAATACTTTACAAAAGTAAATTATTAGTTATTCTCTTTTGAAAGCTTTCAGGTCATTCGGGAACAAAAATATTTAACAAAAATATTGCAACTTAGGCAGCCAAACACAAAATATGAACAGTGGAAGCAAATGTTGTATGATCTCACATGTAAGCCTAACGTTATTTGTACCAAGTGTCTGAATGATAGATAAATTAGAAGAAAATCAGGACTGACTCAAACTCTTCCCAAACTAGAAGGAACTAAGGTAAGCCTGATATTTCTGAAGCAGCATAAGGGTACGTCTACACTACAGAGGAAGATCAAAGCTGCTGCTATTGATCTTCCATGGTTCGAATTAGTGGTCTAGTTAAGACCGCTAATTCAAAGCGAGGGGGGCACTGCAGTTGATGCCGGTAACCCTGCTTTCAGCAGGAGTAAGGGAAGTCGAAGGAAGAGTGTTCTTTCAACTTCCTGCAGTGTAGACAGCACCATTATCTTGAATACTGCGTGCAGATATGGTTACCTCATCTTCAAAACAGTATCTTGGCATTAGAAAGAGTTCAGAACAAAATGATTAGGGGTCTGGAATGGCTGCCAGATGAGGAGAGAGAAAAGCTTGGAAAAGAGACAAGAGGTCTATAAAATCATGACTGGTGTGAAAAAAGTGAATGAAGAAGAGTTATTTACTCCTTTCCATAACACAAGAACTAGGGATTAAACAAATGAATTTAATAGAGAACAAGATTAAAACAAACAAAAGGAAGTACTTCAACACAATGCACAGTCAACATATAGAACTCCTTGACAGAGAATGTTGTGAAATCCAAGACTATAAAAGGGTTAAAAAAATAACTAGATAAATCCATGGACAGGTCCATCGGTGGCTATTGGTCACTGTCAGAAGATACTAGGCTAGATCGACCTTTGATCTGACCCAATATGGCTGTTCTTATGTTCTAGTATTCAGACACAATTTTTACTGCTAAAAGAATAAAACAAATCTTCCGTAAACCATGTAAAAATACTTGCTTTACAGCGCTGAGATTTTATTTCTGGCAAACTGAAGAAAGAGCTAGTGTTTTCCTGAAAATTATTGTGCGGTGATAGTGGTTTTTTTTTAAATTATTTGTTTTTGCCCGTTCTATCCTGCCCTGGCATAGTATATTTTAGTTGGATAACAAGACTATCCAGAATGGTTATAACAAATATGACAATGCAAATAATAATGTAAGGGACACAAACTCATGTTTCAGACCAATTTATAACTAATGGATGGTTGGGAGTAAGCTTCTGTGAGGGAATGCTATTGTATGATAATCCTCTGAAGCAGGTGGTCATAGTCAGCAATAGGTACTGGACTTAATGGTACAGCGATCTGAGCAATTCCTGTAAAGCTTTCAACAGAAAGACTGGTATGTTAGACTGTCTCATTCTTTTTTAACATCCTAGGGGTGAGATTTAGACCCCACATGGAATCTCTATGATCTCACAGATTCTGCGTTCCTCAGTTCCGGAAGGTGTTCAGACATAGGCCCTGCCAGAGAACAACTGTGATTCATCTGGTCTGGCATCCTGGCCCCACAAGGAACCAGTGCTGGATGCTTGCGAGGAAAGATCACTCCCTCTTCAATAATGTACCCACTTGTGCAATAGTACACCCTAGAGGTGCGTGGGATGAGAGAACGTTTCTTGCCCTCAGCGGGTGATCAGCTGATCCTCAACAGCAGAAGGTGATGACACCACCCGGGAAATATCGCAGCAAGTCGCAAGTAACCCCGGGCGCACTTGTTTCGAACAATCCCAAAATTAAATCGAGGCAAGACACGTACAGCCCAGCCCAGCTCAGAGCAGGTCAAAATTGGGGGGGGGGGGGGAGATTTTTCAAATCTGCTGCTGGAGCTGGGTGCTCAAAGGGATAACGAAGGCAGACTTTGCACGGGTTTTGGGGGGAAGCCCCCAAATAATCAGCCTCCCTCCTCCCCTCCCCCCGGAAAAAAAATCAGCAGGTGCATTCACACTGCAGCTCCCAGCCCTGACAGATTGCACGAGGATCAAGTCTCTTTACACCCAGGGCGGGCACCGATGCCGCCCCCTCCGCGACAGATTGTGCGGAGCAGTTCCCAGCCCATCCCGGGGCGAAACCGGAGGCAGCCCCACCGCTAGGGGGGAGCCCTGTGCGGGGCGGGCAACGGGGTCCCTCCTCCGCGCTGCCTGCCCCCCGTACGGCTCCAGAGCCGCCCTGCCCCCCAACAGCACCCCCCTCCCCCAGCACGCTGCTGCCAGGGGTGCGGGCATCTCGGGTGCCTCAACCCGCCGCCCTGCCCTCCTGGCGCCCCTGGGTGCGGAGCGGTACCTGGGATGGCCAGATGGGCCAGCGGGAAGGTGCTGAGGGCGGGGGCGAGGGAGCCCATCCAGTCCGCGTTGCTGCTGCCCTGCGCCATCCTCCTGCCGGGGCCGGGGGCTCGCCCGCTGCAGAGCCGCCGAGAGGCGAGCAAGGGCAGAGCGGCGCCGCCCGCTCCCGCCTTACGGGCCAGGTGCTCGCGCTCCTCGCCCGGGCCAGGTGCCAAGGCGCCCGGCTGCAGCACATCCGCGCGGCCCCTGGCGGAGCAGAGATCAGCTTTGCCGGCGATTGGTCAAGGTCAGGCTGAAGCGCCCGGGCGGCGATTTGCCTCCTCCCCGCAGCTGGCTCCTTTCCCAGTGGGCGGGAGAGCCGGGGGCAGGCTCTTTTCCCCGCGCTGCTTTTGAAAGCGGCGGCCGCGGGGCCAAGCCACAAGTGGAGAGCGGGGAGTGAAGGGAGACAGAGCGAGCGGCGCTGGCAGCAGCAGGACTGCCTGGGTAAGAAATCGCCACTCCCGGGGAAACCTGCAGAGCAGAAGGGGGAGCCAGGAGCAGCGAGGTCCCAGGGAATCTTTTCATGCAATGGGGCTTCAACAGAAAAGACCTCGTTTGTCAGCACTGCAACCTTTCTATAGGAACAAAGGTGACTGGTGGTAGCACTCAGGAGGTGCACTGCCCCCCTCCCCTGCCAACATTTTAATTGCTAAATGGGGTACTCCCATAGGCCCTGTCCAACTGGGTGGCCTTCCCTGCAGGTATCAACCACCCTGTGGGAATGCAGCAGTTTCAATTCGTTTATTTGGCAGGTCCAGGATGGCATTTCCAGTCAAAAGAAAGACAGACTCTAGCCTCTGGTGTGTCTACATAGCACCCAAAACTCGAAATAAGCTATGCAATTGGGGGGGCTCTAGACTACAGGGTTTTTTTTTTCAAAAAAAAGTGGCCTTTTTTTTTCTAAAAAACTTCCCCTACATCTAGACTGCTGCTGCATTTTTTTGAAAGTAAATCGAAAGAACGCGGCATTTTTTTCCACCATGGAAAACCTCATTTTACAAAGAATAACGCCTTTTTTGAATGTGTTCTTTCGAAAAAAGGCGCTATGTAATGCAAACTGCTTTTTCAAAAGAGAGCATCCAGACTGCCTGGGTGCCGTCTTTTGAAAATGTGGCTTGCTTTTTCAAAAGTACTGGTTTTAGTCTAGGTGCTCTTTTTCGAAAGTATCTTTTGAAAAAGCCTCTTTTGAAAAAGTCGTGTAGTCTGGAGGTACCCTTATTTTCAGTCTATTTCGAAATAGCTTATTCATCATTTGGCACTGTCTACACAGCGCCAATTTAGAAATAAAGCACTATTTCGAGCCATCCCTTACTCCTTGTAGAATGAGGTTTGCAAGAGTGGTGAAATAGCGTGTCTGCTATATTTTGAAATATAGCAGGTGGACATGTTCAAAAGATGCAGGGTAGCTATTTCAGGATCCTGGAAGTATCCAGAAATAAACTTTGCTGTGTAGACATATCCTATGATTAAGGCACTCTTCTAGGATATAGGAGAGGGAGTTTCAAGTAGGAATGTCACTGGTTAACCAGCGGGTGAAGGGGTGCTAGAGCCTGGCCTGGTCCAAGCACCATGCCTCAGGCAGGGGACTTGCTCCAGCCTGGCTGGGCCCAAGCAACTCCTGCCTGTAACAGGCCAGACCTAGCCCAAGCAGCCCACGGGATCCCATTTAAGTGGTTAACTAGTAAAATGAAATGTTTTACTTGTGAACTGATAAAATGGCATTTTTACATCCCTGGTTTCAAGTCCCTTCTCTGTCTCATTGCATATCACAATCACTGGGCCATACAATACCACAGGTATGCATGGAACAGCATTCTGGAACTTATGCTTGATGGAGGACGACATTTTGCTGTCCAAAACAGCACCCTGGTTCTATAACCTATGGTTAGGGCATTCACCTGAGGGAGAGAGAAGGATAAAGACTTGTGCTCAATTCTCTGGTGTGGAGCAGTGATTTGAGCCTGTGTTTCCAACATCCTAGAAGATGAATGCCCTAACCACTGAGTGATTGGGTCTTCAGGTGTGGGTCAGTTCTCTCAATCTCATTTTTCCTCATACAGATTTCAAAAGGGCTTTCTTTCACCCCAGTGCTGAAAGGATAAAATATTTGGAATCTCAACTTTTTTCAGGATAGGAAGACGTGCCCAGCTCTAGCCGTGACAAGGGAAAACAAATTGCATGGTCCGATATCAAGTTGTACTTCCACTGCACAGTTTGCAACAGCCTCAAATAATGAACTATTAATCCTTTTAAGATAGTGAAATATATGCAGATGCATTCAAGGTACAAATTGAAGTGAGCACATCATCTAGCTCATGGAAAAGCATCCGATACAACTTTACATTACTTTTGGAAATACACTTTCCAATCAAGGGTGGGCATAGCAATGGATTGCCATAGTGTAAGTGTCTATTGATAGTGACAACAGAATCCTAGTCACTTACATGCGTTATATGCAAAGGGTTTTTGGCCCATCATTCCCCAAAAGCATCATTTCCTTATCTTCATTACTCTACAGTGTAGTAATAATTCTCTGAATATTCAGTAATAAAACATACTTCAACTATCTGGAGGAGACCAAAAGCCTAACAGAGATGGAATAACTGTGCATAGATCAACTTCTTAGGCAGGAACTGATCATATAAAATCTCTTATAAAATTCAAATGTATCATATTCAGATATTAAACATTTACATTGGTACATATGAACAATAATAGGGCTCTTTGGACTATCATTTTGTAGCTTCAGGAGAATGGGAATGAATGATGCAAGACCACGCTGTCTTAAACACAACAATTATGTAAGGCAGCCAGGGCCACAACAGTGCCTGGGCTACAGGCAGCTCCACACTTAACAACATTGCCTTCCACACTTTCCATTTTCTGAGCCTCTCTCCAAGCGCACTTACCTGCTACATAGCTGGGCAGCAGCAATGGGAAATCTGTAAGAAAAAGCACATGGCAGATCATTTTATAGAATTTCTATAGGCTTATTCTTAGCACAAGATTTATATCCTTACAACACAACTACTGATCACTCTGTGGTCAGAAAAGTGTAGTCTAATCTGTGCTTTGTTTGGTTCAGCATAACTAGCTGAGAATACGTGACTTGTCCCTTGGCTACACTGTACTGCAGTGATCAGTGCTGTGCTGGCTAGTCACCCCTTCATAATTGTTTGCTAAGAGCATACATTTTATTTGAAAAATAAAGAAAACAAAGCTTTTATGGTCACAGAGGGCCTCCATGTCTACTTCTAGCTACACCTCAGCCACAGTAAGTCTTTTCAGACTTCAAGAAGGCCTTAGTTTCTGTGGGCACAATAAAGCATACCTCTTGAATAACTCAGCTCATAGTGCAATAAATTAAGGCACATGCTAAATTTAAATCATTAGCAATTATCTTAGCAGCTGTTAATATGAGTCTGTGATAGAGCAATGTGCCTTATAGGCTGAGTAACAAAGAACATTTTTTTCTTGTTAGCCATCCTGTTTGGCTCTCTCATTTTCAGATTCAGTGGAGCTCTTGCAACATGTCCTGGCTGTCCTCCTAGGTCCTGAGGCTCTCTTGTGCCTGTGATCAAACAATTTCCAAAACAAGAGGAAAATCCTAAATATTGTATTAATCCCCAATATCCAGGGCTCCTGCTCTCCCTCAAGAATTCATCCTGTTGTCAAATTGGAAGCAGCATAACTTAGAAGAATGGGCACAGCCTGAATTTTAATGCCATTTACCACCCCACTGTTGTGTGACCTCAGACAAGTCATACTTCTTTGTGCCTGTATCACTGATAGGCTACGTCTACACTGGCCCCTTTTCCGGAAGGGGCATGTAAATTTCATGAGTCGTCATAGGGAAATCTGCGGGGGATTTAAATATCCCCCGCGGCATTTAAATAAAAATGTCCGCCGCTTTTTTCCGGCTTTTAAAAAAGCCGGAAAAGAGCGTCTAGACTGGCCCCGATCCTCCGGAAAAAGCGCCCTTTTCCGGAGGCTCTTATTCCTACTTCAAAGTGCCCGGCAGCCACGCAACGTTGGGGACCACTGCCATACATTATTTAAACAATCCAGCAGTTCCCTCCACTTAATGCTTGTCACTTTTGAAATCTGTCACCATTTCTTCTTCACAGTCCCCATATTGCCACAGAGGCTCTTAAAAAGCCACGTGTAGCCTGCATTCTGAAATCTGATACCTAAGGATTACATTTTTTTCATTGGTCCTGGTCTTGGCATCTTGGATCAGCCAGGTGAAGTACTTGCACTCTACATCATCTCTGCTTTTTTATTTATATTTTTTTTGTTGCATTAAGTCAGGATATGCACAGCTGGGAAAAGTACAGTCAGATTTCTTTCCCCATGCAGTAGGACCCAGAAGTTTGGGCGAGTATGCTGTAGTTCTCTTCTGAAGTGCACTGTGCCAACAGCAGAAACAAGATAAAAGTCAAATCCCACAGTTCAGAATCTCAAACTCTTCTCATGTGAAGCTGTCTTGTAAAAAAATAAAAGGGCCTAATCAGGAACCAGTAACCATGGAAAAATAAGAAACAACAGCAAAGAAGGACCTTTAATTTCTGGATCATTGAGTTGTGTTTTGCTCAGTTTAGAAGCTTGCTTTATGTAAATTTCAGTGATTGTTACTAATATTTGGTGTCTTAGGGCACATCTAAACTACATTCCTCTTCCGAAAGAGAAATGTAAATGAGCCCAATCGAAAATTCAAATGAAGCGCGGATTTACAAATCTCACGCTTCATTTGCATAATCACGTGTGAGCGGTTTTTCAAAAAAGAAACCACAGTCTAGATGGGTTTCTTTAAAAAAAAACAAGAACCCTTTTTTGAAAGAACCTGTAGTCATTTTTTCAGGAGTACAAGTTCTTTTGAAAAAGGGATGGTTTTTTTTTTCTTTTTAGAACCCCTCTCTAGACTGCAGTTTCTTTTAAAAAAAAAACCTTTTTTGAAAGAGCGTTCACATGATTATGCAAATGAAGTGCGAGATTTGTAAATCCACGCTTCATTTGAATTTTTGATCGGGCTCATTTATATTCCCCTTTCAAAAGAGGAATATAGTTAGGACATACCCTTAGTTAGAAGGCAGTGCATAGCATGCCTGCTTCCCTCTACATTTTGATCCCTCCTTCAGTCATATTTTAACTGAGGTCTACATAAGAAAAGTCATCCTGATGTATTATGTTTTAACATCTGCATGTTTTTCTGACCATCCCA